ACAGATGTGCTTAGCTTGCCAAAAGTGCAAGATAATAAGACACACCAAAAGCCCCCTTGGTACCTTTCTTATCCTCGATGGCCGTTTCGAACACGTCCATATAGATTTAGTTGGCCCCCTTCCAGAATCTCATGGATATACCTATATCTTAACCTGCATCGACCGTTTCACACGATGGCCTGAAGCAGTAACCCTCAAGGATATATCTGCTGAAACCGTCGCACGCGTCTTTGTAGAAAGATGGATCGCAAACTTCGGATGCCCATCTTCCATAACAACTGATCGTGGGCGGCAATTCGAAAGCGGTTTATTCTTCGCTTTGACTAAAATCCTTGCTTGCATGCGTTTTCGAACAACAGCCTACCATCCTCAAGCTAATGGTATGGTAGAACGTCTGCACCGACAGTTGAAATCTGGGTTATCAGCTGCAAACAATTCACATTGGACTGAATCCCTTCCGTTAGTTCTCCTAGGTATACGAAACGCCTTAAAAACCGATGCCGGTTGTACCACCGAGCTAGTATATGGCACGACACTACGACTGCCAGGTGAGTTTGTTTCTCCCTCTAGCTTCTGACCAGCGGTAGATCACACCTCATACGTCAGTAGGCTTACAAACACAATGCGTTCAGTTAAACCTGCTCCCCTTCGACCACAGTCCGTAGATGTCTTTGTTCACCCGTGTTTGGAAACTTCTTCACACGTATTTGTTAGTCATGTCTTTTTGTTTTAGGCAAATTGGCCGCGGGAACTCCGTTAGCATCGACCGTCTGAAACCAGTCTACTTAGAAGGTAATCCCATGAGCCTAGAACTGTGCATTACCAATAATGCACAAGTTACCTAATATCCGTTAGACCTTGAAGAAATGACTAGCACGGCGAAAGCCACCGAAGCTTCTGTCAACCACTCAAAGAAAACGCGTTCTGGACGAATCGTGAAATTCTCAGAACATCTTCACACTTACATCACATAACTAAGTGAGGCGATTCACCCATTTCTCAGACGTTTGTGATATTTATTAATTTTTTCTTTCAGACACATCAATTTTTATATTGCATCTCGCAACAAAAATAAAAAGCTTTTCTATAACCGTACATGTTACATCCACTAAAAAAACTTGATATATACTTTTTTCGATGTTCTATTTTTCGCATTATTTTTCTGTATGCAAACCATTTTTCAAACGTTATTTTCGGTACATTTTCCTCAAAAAGGTTCTTAGCATTCTCGTTTTCTTTTCCAAGTGCGAAGGGCACTGGACAAGTAGCCAAAGAGGCACGAGATCGAACGGACAAACATAAACAAAGCGATGTACAGACATCTTATTGGCATAGGTAGACGACCAGTAAGCACTAAATCAAGCCGATCGGAAGAGTTTTCTACTGATGGGAAAACCATCGGGTTTTTTAATTCCGGCTGGTTTTTTCTTAGAGTCTTCCTAACCCCACTAGTGGGGCAGTGAGTTGCAGCGGTAGGTAATTCCCCCGTATTATTGGCCACAGCATTTAACACTGAACATTGGATGCTGACCTTCACTGTTTAGGTCAACTTGTTTAGCTGAAGGCTTCCGGTCAAGCATCCAGGCCATTTGGTACTCCGTTGTGTCACATTCGTTTGTTCGTTCGTGCACGATCCCTAGCTAGTTAAGCAATCATCTCGCACTCCGATTTGGTCCCGAAACATAACTCGTAATTTGGAAGGTCAATTCTGGTGTTTTGCTTTGTCTTTGGTCTACGCGGAACGAATACTATAGAAGTTGTGGGTATTAGATCTTGCGTTACTATACTTCGTACTATCCGTGGACGTCAATACCTTCAGCCTCTAAAGTTTTAACTCTTCATAGAGAATATTGAGTCCAAATATTTTTGAAGTTTTCCATGCAGCTGAATATCACTTTTCATAACCTGAAGTACGGCGTCTGACATTTGACTGCTTTTGCGTGTGCAGACTAGTCCATCTGCTTATGTGAAATTGGATTTATCAATAGTTCAGTGAAAAGTTCCAAGAACACTGCCATGAGTGTCTATCAAGTGATTATAATGAAGACGAGTAATGGCTAGACATTCCGTCAGCGCTCTTGATTCAGTCTTGTTACCTGTTTTCGTCAGAATGGTTAACATGATGAAAATAACATCCCAATATAAGTGATTATCTATCTGCTTAGGGTAAAATCACCAAAAATACACTACGCTTAACCAATGTCTATTTCACTTTTCTTATGTATTCCAATTGGAACTTCTAATGAACTGATTCGACTTTCTAGGACGACTGATGACGACCTGGCTGTTCCGTCTCTAAATATATCTAGAAATTAAAAATCTTAATGACTTCTCATGGGATTTGGATAGTTCTAATGTCACGTGAACTGGTTAAAGAATTATAATAGGTATTCATTCAGTGACTACAGTTTAAGATTTTGTGTAAAATTTCATATAACAGGATTAATATCAGCAATCAAACTTGTGACAACAGCCCAATAAGTCATATACTCTTTTAATTGATGTTATCCAATAACGAAGTTCACTTTGATATTTTAATGAGATAATCACCACACATATTTATTAGCTATCTACTTGTAATGGCGTGTAGTCCACATAATGCAAATGATGAATGTTCAAATAACAAAGCAAATATGTTGATCGAATTTGATCAATCCCACGTAAATTCATTGAATTTCAAGTATCGAAAACGTGTACAGAAGGAATAGAAAGTGTGTTGGTCTACAAGTTCAAAAACAAAAAGGTTAAATTTATTCTGCTAAAATCCTATGTACCTAGGCACTGGAATGTCTCTTATCTCTGAACATATGATTCATTTGTATTTTAGGATAATACGGGTTTTCTTCAGTGATCACTTCATGATATTTGCCATTCATAATAATGAAACATAAAATAAACATTCCTAACTTACTGAGGGAAAACTGAATTGTTTCTAATCTTAAAATGTCTACTATACACCTTCAACAGTTAAAAATATTCAACCAGTAGTGTTTCCAGTTGCTCTCGACTGAAGTTAGGCCGAACCAGAACCCGCTAACTTAAACGTATCAAGTGAAAACAACAATAATTTTTAGATCGACTGTAAGAATAAGTGGATTATAACACGAGAAGTAATAAGAGTAACAAAGTGATATAAATGATTGTATAATCAAAGTGTGCAGTAGAGACCACATACTGTAAATATAAAGAAAAAACTGTTGTCTCATAGCAGTTAACCTCCTAAAAGCTTAATACGTTTCAAAGTAGATTAAAACACAAATTGACATCAGTAAAAAAAGATCGTCGAAAACTAAGGAACACTTGATAACTGCTTCCACTCAGTTTAAATTGCTTCAGAAATTCAATAAATAAAAACATTAGAACTTTTAAAAATTTCCTAAACTAAACGCAAGATATATAATAAGGAATGAATTGCACAAACCGTACCATTCGATTAAAGTTTCAGTAAGGATTAAGGCAGTAAAATGCCAAACATCTTAGGCCACTATTAAGAAATATAATGATCTAATTTTTGGTAAAACTATCTCATAAAGTCACTGTTTAACTTTGATTGAGTTCAGAATAAAAATCTCGGTCGTATCAAGATTCCAACTGGTGGTCTGCAGATTATGTGATCATATATTTACATTTAGGTGCCGAATCCGGCTCATGAATAATATCTAGTTTCCCTTAAGCTGCATTTGGAAGCATTCATTGTAATTAGTGATATAGAGAGATGATTGTCAGCTGGCCAGTATGGGTCTAACGGTCAATGAATTGCAGTACAATATAAGTTTTCGTTTCAACCCTGTTATTATTATTGTTTCCTTTAATTCCTAGAGGAAAATAGGGCTTCAGCCGCAAATCTCAATTGAGTTCGGTTCTCTGCCAACGTCTTCACTTGTCTCCACGTCTACCCAGATGCTTTCATCGACTCTTCGCATGACCTCCTCCATGTCACCCTCGCACGGACGACCAACTCGCCGCTTTCCGTTCGGATTCCGCTCAAGCGATGGCCTGGCGTGTGATGTCACTTGATAGTCTTCTCAGAGTATAGCCAATCCAACTCCATTTCTTCCTGCATATTTGTTGCACAATCGGTTTCTGATTGGTTCGCTCCCAGAGATCCCTGTTGCTGATCTTTTCTGGCCGGCCATCTGATCCTGAGTAGTATTGAGCGAAGACAACTGTTGATGAAGGTCTGTAGTTTGTTCGAGGTGCTCTTCGTAACACTGCGCCAAATCTCTGATCCATAAATTAGCACTGACTTCATATTGGAGTTGAAAATCTGGATCTTATTTTTCAGGCTGAGAGTAATGAAAGTTTGCCTTGTTTTCTCGGTCATCGCTTTGATATCCTCTTCAGTTCCGTCGGCCTGTAGTTGGAACGATGCTTCCCAGGTAGGTAAAGAAGTTTGCTGCTTTCAGACTCCTCCCATTTACGCTGATTGTTGTCTGTTGTTGTTGCTGTTGGTCAAGAATCTTTATCACCTGTATTTTCTCTATGTTCACCTGAATTCCTATCTATGATGCTTCTTCTGCCAACTTGTTGCTTTTCCCTTGTATGTCTTCCAGTTTGTTGGAAATCAGACATATATCATCGGCGAAGTCGAGATCCTCCAAGTTTTTTGTGTGTATCCACTTTATGCCTGTTTCCTCATTGCCCGCTGTTTGTCGCATTATCCAGTCTACCGCAATCAGGAAAATCATCGGAGATAGTGGACAGCCTTGTCTTACTCCCGTCTTTACTTCAACCCTAATAATCACTTAATTACCCGACGACAGCTTATAAACTGATATCTGGAATACCACTACTTATTACCATTCGCAATATATATAAACGTCGATTCTGAGCTTAAAGTGAGGAATAATTTTACACCGCATGAAAATCTATACCTAGCCAAGAACCGGAACCAGACAGAGTTTCATTTGAGAATAACAAGTACTTGACAGCTATTTTATTCTAGTTGGCAACTATTAAGCAACACAACAATATGAAGAAACGAATAAAGAATTTTTAGACTAGGAGTCAAATACTGTACTTTTCTACCACTGAGTTGGAAATCCAGCAGTACAAGATTTCTAATCCCTCTGACTTGTCAGGTAGTTTTGTAATAATTACCTCCACAAAATATGCAGCTGAATATAAAATACTTATGAATTGCAATTATGTTAACTTAGTACTTTATTAAATAAAAGTAGTCGACTTGTAGTAGAAAAAGTTTATTTAGCAAATGTTAAGTCACTCAAAATGCTAATTGAAATTGGTCCACTCGAAAGAGTAATGAATTCTAGTTTGCCGAAGAATATGATCGAACTGGAGAACGCATTCGTATAGAAATCCAACCACTTATTAACTAATCAAAGGGTTTGAACTGAACAACCAAGAATTCACAAAAATTAAATTTAAAAAGTAAGCTAAAGGTGATTTGATGCATGCACAGGTTTATTAATTAAGGAAGACATTTAATAGAAAATTATGGCTGTAATAATAACAAGAATAAAAGAAGTGTAATAAATTCACATAGATAAAAGGTTTCTATTTCATTACGTGTAATTTCATTTTTAAAACTTCAAAATCGCGCCACATACGGATCAACTGAAACTTCACGGCTTTCATCATTGCTTAGGCACAATGCAAATATCATAATCACAGCCATAGTGAAAATGGAGACACCAACGATAAGATAGGTCAGACTTGAATCATCATCATCTCTGCAGCGTGATTCTGTTTAAGGGAAAAAAAGTGAACTGTCACGAAATGTGTTTTTAAAATAACCAAAATTAAATGCAGTTGGTTAGTTGGTTTATTGTTATTAATACATTGCATTTATACACTTAACTGCTTATAATCCATTTATCCCGGACTATATCGTCTTAACATATTTCCTATCATAAATCGAACTCAGCTAGAGAATTAGTGAAAAGCAGTAAGCACTGAACAGTTTTATTTCACTCCAACTGCATTTTCTCAATGATGCACATGATTCTAAACTGTTCACAGGGCAGAATTCTAATTTTCTGTGGTCATCATGCTGTCACTCAGTCACATTCTCTTGGATCTGCTAATCGTCTATGAAGCATAAACATCATTCATTGTCTTATGTTGAGATTGTGTAAAGGTTTATAGCGGTAGATACCCGTTAAGTGTTGCTTCTGAGAAATAAGTATCATAGAACTACATACCAAAACGTAACTATGCATCATTGATCATTTCTCCATAGTTCGTTAGTTTTTTATGGTTTGTACTTAGTCTTAGCAACTTCTGACTACTTCATACGAACAAGAACATCGAACATGGGTGCTAATTTCCAGAAGTATTTTTAAAAATTAAGAGACGAAAATAAACAGTAAAATGTCACAGACTTCATGGTTGGCCGTCGTCACCCATGCTATATATATATATATATATATATATATATATATATATATGTATATATATATATATATAAATCGAATTCTTTATTTGCAAACTGGTTTACAATTTACACACTTCGAGTTGAAGTTTCACATCTTTTGGGAACTGAAACTGTTCAAATAACAGTATGTGATCTACTTGATACTAAAAGTTATGTTCAACATAGCAGACATATTTGCTTAAAACTGTGTAGTATTGATCAGTTGAGAGGAGTAGTTGTAATGTCACTTTATGTCTATAATATGGCTTATATATATGTTGTGGTAAGTATTGTCATCCGTAGCGTTAAAAATGTAGTGATAATAGTGTGGCACTGCAATCAAAAAAACCCGTTGAGAAACATTTAGTTAAATTCGACCTAGTACATCAACTATATGCTACTCAAAACTCCAATAAGGCTTACAACATGTACAATGCTTCTGGTGACCCTAAAAAGTGAAGTCTTAATCAAGGTTGCCTAGAAAACAGTCTTCTGGTGATGTAGTCTTTATACTACAAACCATTTTGTGGTATCATAGTGGATACTGCCATTAACTCCAGTTTCAATGTTTTGTAAATCACATTATTCCTAACAAAGTGATCAGAATAGCAATTTTCCCCTAGAATGCCTATAACTCTTTTATTTCAACATCTTAAGTTTCATTAGAATATACTTTCTGAGCTGTGCTTGTTAAACGGAAGGCTGAGCTTCGCTGCTGCTACAAATCTGAACATAAATTTTCAGAGTATAACTCTTTTACGTACCTGTGTCAAGGATAAAATTCATAATATATTCAGGTCAGTGTGCATCTATAGATTTAATTACTTATGTGGAGTTAATCAGATTCAATGAACAACACCACCAACTCCGCCCCATCCCCCCCACAAAAAGGAAGTAATAAACACAGGTGTAGATGACAGATTAAAACTGTGACAAAAAACAATTGCAAACTATATGTAGTTAAATTTATTTGAGATAAGCCATATTATAGACACAAAGTGACATTACAAGTATAGTATTGATATTTTAAACCGACTGTCATGAGGTGTTCATTCTCTTCTTCACACCAAGAAGGCAGTTCGAATTAGGTTAGTAAAACTAGAATTATGTATTTAAAACAGTTAAATTCACACTCCACACAATGCCAATTGTTACATTTTCTTCTTCATCCTTGTATCTATTATTATCTATATTTTCCCCTCTTAGTTCCGATATCTTGAGTATATTTACAAACGTTTATGAGTAGCTATTGTGTTTTTCTCATGTGTTACCTAATTGAGTCTAATAAACACTTAGTTATTTTAGTATCGATAGTCTTAGAAAGCTAGTTATTCCCTATTTAAATCTTGGTTTCTATACAGAATTTGATTGATATCCATGCAGAATTCATCACTAACCCGCTTGGGTCGGATAAGCTCTAGAAAAGTAAAAAGCACTACTTATCCAACTAACCTGAGTTACTTGGAGGCCAGTCAGTTATTCTTAGACTCAGCAAATTAGCTGATACTGAATTAGTAGTAAATAAATAGACGGGCACATTAACTTGCATTACAATCATAATGTTTCTTTGAAAAAAAACTTATCATTACCATCTATAACTAAAGTTATTAATGAATATTATGAGTGTTTACAAAATAAATAGTTAGTGAATAGTATGAATTCACAAACTGAAACATACCTGTACCAACAAAAGAAGGATTAGCACTACTGCGGAAAGCTTCAGCCTGAAGTAAAGTAAATGTTAAACGTACAGTACTGTAATTTCGACTATTTGGATGAAGATCAATTTTATCCATATTCGAACAATTGAAGTATGTACCTTTCGGAATGGAAAATACTTCATCTGTTGACTTGGCTTCAATAAAAGCTAGCCAAAAAATAAACACAGAAACTTAGTGAGAAAATGCACAAAAACAAAAAGACAATGCACAGTTAAGGCGAAAAAAAGGTTAAACATAATTACATTTGATTTGCTGCGTGCTTATAGACACGATTCCTTTTGTAACTTAAGGTTCCTGTTTATATTTAGCTAACACCGACATTGAAATAAAAGAAGCTTGATGAACTAATATTCCCATATACGGTCTTATAGACAGTTTCTTTCGACTTATCAATTAACTCTGTACTGTCTAGCCAACAAATGGGTTCAAACCTTAATGGGGAAGTGATTTACTGTCATTTGTACCAGAATAAATTCGTCGACTGTTAGTCTGTTTCACAGACTACAGTTAGAAGCAGTGCTGGAAGTTGGGATTACTTTGACTTTTCCCCCGTGAAATTAAGCCTCAAACTGTTATTGTTGAGTGAAAGTAATAAGGTTAGTAAGAAAAAATGTCAGGTCACGAGAAGTGATTATGTTAAAAGGAAAATTGAATATTTGATTCAACAAGAGCTTTTAAAATTAATAGAATGAACAAAAACAACAGAAGTCATAAAAATAACTGGGGTATTTGTCAACCAGTTATTATTTAATAAAAGACATCTAACCAGCAACAACAATTACAAATCGCTATCAACAGGAGGAATTTGAAGGAAGTCACCTCTTTCATTTGCCTAGGCAGCATCATTTCAATCATAGGTGGAATGGATGCTGGTGTCAAAGCCAGTCAGGGTCACAAAAGCTAGACGAACTTGCATTGACCTGAAATCGATGTGGACTGCACTAATGTGAAGTCAGTTCTTCTATATGGTTCAGAGACTTGATGTATCACCGAAGGTATTTACAACAGACTACAGACTTTCATCAACAGCTGGCCACTTTGCTTCATGCTGAAGTTCGGGTGGCTAGAAGCGATTGGCGACAAGAAACTTTGAAAACGATTTTTTTAAAATATTTTTATTTTATTCCTTTACGTTCCCTGTGGAACATAAGGCGTCAAGCTACGGCCTCGAAGTTTCGGTAGCAGTGGTGTTTATTTTTACGAGATGGGATTGCTGGCCTCATGCCCAACCTTCCCTCTTTACCGGCTTAGAGAGGTACAGGAGTGCATCTGCCGGGGATAGAACCCTGGACCACATGCGTGGTTAGCGAGCATTCTACTACTAAGCGACCGACACACTCTGGAAACGAAGCAACCAAGAACTTATTGCTCAACACATATGCAGGAAAAAATGGAGATGGATCGGACACATGATGAGTGACACCTCGTGACAGGCTCTCGAGTGGAGCCAGAAAGGGAAATGACCACTTGGGAATCCAAGGATAACATGGAGGCGATCATGTAAAGAAGAGATGAGAGCTTATGGGTAGTCGCACAGCCAGCTAAAGGCGACTGCAGAGAACAGCAAGAAATGGAGATATGCTGTTGAATCCACATGTTCCACTCAGAATCTAAAGGAAAAATAATAATGATAAATGTCATTTCTCTTAATATCAATAAAAAGTTTGAGCATTGTGGATTAGATCAAATAAAGTATAATTATATTTCAATAGTTTACACACATTGATAAGTTTTGTTATATTTCGAGCAAAATTACCAATAACAAAACTTATCAATGTGTGTAAACTATTGAAAGATAATTATACTTTATTTGGTCATTTCTCTTGTATAATGTTTCCTTCAGTATCCATTCCTGTTGGTTTTAACACTTCATAATGGGTTTTTTCGGGTGCTATATTGAACGTGCATATTTTTTGATGAAAACCTGAAGAAACGTAATACTGCTATTTGGAATACTGGAATAATGGCATGTCACTATAGGTTTTTAATGAATAACTTGATTAAATCAACAGAACTCATTATACTTCGTCAAACAATGATGTTTTTGTACATCAAATAAGCTATCACTTTTATTTATAAAGTCTTTCTCAAAATTCCACATTTGTTACAAGGATGCGATAGAGATTGAATTCATAGGAAAATAAAACTATTCCGCACATTTCCACTGAAAACAACAGATGGTTATGATTCTTACGTTTACTTTGAAAGACAGCACTTTTCTATTTTCATATGAGCATGATTATTTCTTTCTTTCAGTTACTGATTCAGTCTTTAGCGTAACCCCAAAAGATTGGATTATTGGTTTTGGACATTACATATCAACTACTCAAGGTCAATTTTATGAATAACACAAATGAAGTGAAAGAAACAAACTGTGACAAAAATGTTATTAAAAGATAGGGGAAATATACTCATATTTCCAGATAACATATAAATAAAGCAGTGTGGATAAACTGAGAGGTCAAAAACAATTATATTCTTGCTTTTTTCATTGCTTGCGTTCCGAGTGTATAGTAGGAATTCAAGCATTGAAGTTTCATTATTAGTAGTGTTTATTTTAAAGGCTGAAGTTTCTGGCCTAACCCTCAACTTTGACTCTTATCCGGGCTAACTATCGGCTGGTAAAAGGGGTGAGTTTTAGGAGTGCATCGGCCGGGAGTCGAGCCCGGATGACCAGCATTCTACCTTTACGTTTTCGACACATTTGTTTACATAGGTCATTTTAATACCCCATTAGACTACAGTATATTTTTTCCCAGTTAATCAAAAAAAGGATTTATAAGGGTAATTAAAAATTAGAATTATAAGTCTGAATATCCAACCGACGCGGACTCTTTAAATTTCCTCCCCTTTCTTCATTATCAGTAAGTGAAAAAGTGGAGGCCATGACTGCTCGTACAAAAAGGTCAATATTGTATAAGTATTATTATTGTTTTTGTTCCCTTGGGTTCCGGGTGGAACATAGGGCTTCAACAACACATCTCCAATTTCTTCTATTTTCTGTTGTCCTCATTAGCTGGGCCCACAATTGCTCATAATCTCCCATCTCCTCCTCGCGCGATCTCCTAAATGTCACCTTCGGACGACCCACTCGTTGTTTCCCATTCGGGTTCCACTGAACCTATGGCCTATTGCACCATGTCGTTTGACGGTCTTCTCAGAATATACCCGATCTGTCTCCATTCCCTTCCACATATTTGTTGAACACTAGGTTCTTGGTTAGTTTGTTTCCATAGTTTCTTGTTGCTAATTCTTTCTGGTCATTCGATATTCAATATAGAGCGAAGGCAGGTATTGATAAAAGTCTGTGACCTGTTCGAAGTGCTTTTCGTGACACGCATTGCAAGTTTCTCACCCACTTAGAAGAAGTGACTTCACATTTGCGTTGAAAATCTAAATCTTGTTCTTTATACTGAGTGCAGAGGAATTCCAAACTGATTGCTGCTGGTTGTTATTTCTGTTGGTTGGTTTATCCTCATCACCTTCGTCTCCCCTATGTTCACATGCAGTCCTGCCGTCGCTGCTTCTTCAGGAAGCTTATTTGGTTTTTGAACACAAGTCTTCGAGTTTGTGTGATATTAGAGATACATCATCCGTAAAATCCAGATCTTCTAGAATCTTCCTATCGGTCTGGCATGTTCCAGTCTTCTTGCTCCCCACAGTATACCACATGGTCCAGTCAACCACAATCAGGAATATCATCGGTGATATTAGACAGTCCTGTGCCCATCACTTCCTCTTTTCCTGGATTTGATATCGACTAGAAAACTAGCAAGCTAGTAGACTAGGCGAGGTTTATATTGTGTGAACATAAATATTGCGTTTGTTGTTTGCTTTCATTTCAGCCATAACATGACTTGGCGCTTTCCTCGTTTTATTACCATTATTATCATTAATCTGGATGGTTTCTTGCTAGCGTCAATGTTGTAGAAGTATTTTAGTTAATCTGGTCAATATTACAAAATGCTTTGTTTAAATCCTAATTTAATCACTTTTATACCCAGGACCTTCTTACTTAAATTTTCGTATAAGGTTTCTGACCTACATCTGGAATTGTGAATACTTTACTAGCTGTAAATATTAATTTGGTGTCAGAGCAAAAGTGGAACCCACGTATTTAAGTTACCTAAACCAAGGAGTAAACAGATCAATTCATACATGGCGTTTAACAATAAAGTTAATTTTGATTGGACACTCGTAACTAGTGTAACGTGTCTAGTCCTTTCTTTGGTGCAGACTGAATTCTATCAGTCAGGTTTGCAATGTGGACACCATGCCACTAGGTAGCTCGTCATCACGGTGCACATTGATTTGATGATATTAGATAGTTGGAGACAATCGGCAAGAAGCCTTGGACCTATGTTTCGTGCTAGTTGGCACTCATCAGCAAGGCGTATCTGCAACCTTGAAGGAACTCATGTCCCTTCTGAGATTCGAACTCGCGTCACCCAGTGCTGCAGTCAGAGACGTTACTACTGAGCTATTCGGGCTCGCGATTGACCTCATGTAGGACTGTAGTTAATTTATTGCAGCTTAACTTATGCATTTAACAGGAAAAAACTGAATCGTTATTTAAGTAGAGAATAATGGCCATTATTATCTCAAAATAGATAACTTCACTTCAACAGTTAGAGAGTCATTAAAATTTAGAATTACTGGATATCTGTTTCTTCCTTGCTCTAGCAGTTCGCATCCATGACACAGCCAAAGATAGAACTTAAGGCCACGAGGTAACTAGTCAAGCACATTCACTATAAGGCTACCGATTCAAAGTCAAAAGAACCATGGATTCTAAATTCACTCAGCTAGAGACATATTGCCAGTCCCACACCATTTCACCAATGGGCATTTGTGTGCTATACCCCAGGTCTGTGTTAATAAAAAAACGAATAGGCCATTCATTTATCAAAATCGCTCCTTCACTATCTGACCACCCTATGAATTTCCGTATACCTGTCTTAACAAATGAAGGTAGTTACCTAGATGACTTTTCAAAATTGATAGCTGCTTATAAAATGTTAACTTGGTTTATTAATACGTAGACAGTCATATAAATAATTAGCACTAGTAAATACAAATCGAACCGTTTTCCTGACTTCACATAATTAATTTTTTATTAAATCTGCACAAATATTGAAGTGTCTCCTCCTTATTTAAACATTAACATTTGAAGTAATCTAATGAAAACTGTAGAGATTTCTAAGACGGAAAAAATGAAAAGAAAATACACATGTTGTTGGACAGTGAAGTAGCAATAATGCTTGGATTAATTTACTCCACTGTGGTCTACCGTCAGTGAAATTGACTGGAGTCTAAACAGTTGGCTGACAGCTGATTCCAACCGATTAATTTACCACCTGACAGTATGGAATGCACATGGATGCAAAAGGCTTGTTTGTTATTTGCTAATGAGCGTCATCGTTGGCACTGGTTATCAATCAACGAACTTATATGCTGCACAGAAATCCGATTGTATTCTACTTTATATCGGTGAGATATGACCATTAGCAGTTTTTGACCATAGATATCTCTATTCTGTATTTCATGGTAAGTGCCGCAATGTGGTCAGTAAGAGTGACGTTGTCTGATTGGTTGGAGGATTCGATCATGAGCTGACATCAGCTATATAACCATTGGAAGACCAGCCGGCAGTACTGGACAGTTGTTTCGTCCTAGTTTGGGACTTTTCAGTAGTGTGCACCCACCGCCAGGATTCGAACCCACAACCTTTTGGTTACGAGGCGAGCTCGTATACCATAAAGCCACAGTGACCCATCCAATGGCCCACGAATTCTAACTTCCACTTTGCAATGTCTTCTTCGGTGAGTAACTGTCCTCACCTTTAACCTGCTGTACCCTCGGCTTCCCACTAGAACTCCAAGTAACTGCCTGAATAGGACCAGTCGCTACTGAGTAGTACTCCCAGGTTTTCCAATAGTTCTCTAGGTGATGTCAACTCACGAAATCCTCCAACCAATCAAACAAAATCCCTACAAAAAAATACTTGAAAAATGACGTTGTCTGTAAGATGTCGAATTAGGAGGAAAAGAAAATCAATGAGATTGTGAAATAGTGTCGACTGAGGTGAGTGGGAGTTCCGGAATGCTTGCTGAGCAATCATCTTCCTCGACGAGCAATTTCATCTGAAGTAGGAACAAAACTAAGCGTCAGTCCATGAGATTAGTTCACTCCATCTAGGGATGTGCAAACTGTCTGGCTGGTATCCTTGGGATGCTAGGGATGAGAAGTTAGACAGTCTTAGTGATATCAGTCAAAATTATCCACAAGGGTTCAGAATGTTTAACTTCTTATTGTCATCCTTACTCTGAAAATCCTCATTAATCTTCATTTAATTATCCACTCACCTATATAATTTTGTTTATTGCAGTTTCATTACATTTCATTTCCCTGCCTTTGTATATGCTTCTTTGAAGTGCAATAAGTTGAACTAATGTACTTTTATGTACAGTCCTACTTTTATAAGTCCGTTTATCAGGCAGTGAAAGCATTATCAGATGTAGCAATATAGTCAGGGAAACAAATCAAATAAAGTTAGATTGTATTTCATAATGACAACTAAGGCATAGTATGTCATCCATAAAACTGTCGCCAGTAGAAGTGATGATTTATAAACTTTTTATTTAAAAAAGTGTTAACAGCATGAAGTGTTCAGAGAGCATGAAAATCTGTATTAGCACGCAAGGTAAACGATATCAGTGAAGTGAAAAATAACCGAATAATTCATATCAATCTTGTTAAAAGTAATAAAATTTAGGGAAGAAATGTGTCCGATTCGTGTTACGTGTATTTTCTAATCGTCAAAGTCACAATGTTTTTGCTTGTTTCATTGGTTGACATCAAGTGACTATTAAGTATAATGGGACCTGTAGACACATATTTTAGTTTTGTTAGGGACGAGGTAGGTATTTTTATGCATTTTGGCATATTCCATTATGTATTAAGACTGATACATTAAATTTCGAAACCAAGTGAAGTTTAAATGACTACGTATTAGAATGCATTTAAGTAGACAAAATAGTCTTGGAATAACTCAAAAAAAAAAAAAATTGTTTCTGATTAAATTTAGAATATCACATACTAGTGTATGACGTATTATTGTACTTTACTGCATACTACTGCATTATATTGTGAAACATGTGATACAGGGTTGCAAATATTGAATATGCGTATAAAAATCTTTCCTTGAAGAGAAGCATTATCAGTTAACTCTTGAAATGTTGATTGATTTCGTCTGGTGAAAACAAAATCAAAGAGCTCTTTAGTACTTGTTACACTTCTCAAAAGACACGTGATTAGGTAAGAGGAATTCTTAATTATGATGGACTTATCACAACACCACTTAGAATTGGCACATAGTTTAGAAATGCATTCATTATTTAAGTATTTATCGATTGCTTTGTTTTAATTGAAATAAAACTCACAAAAATGGAAGTCTTTTGCTGACAATATTGATTCGCCTACTGAAATTTATTAGTTGTCTGTTCTAAAACGAAGTAACTCATAAGGGTGTACGTTCGACATTTGAGAAGAATGATAAATCTATAGTTTATACGGATTATCTCTTATAGAAAATTAATTTTCACTGGCAAAATCTACTGGACAGCAAAGGGTACACTGTAATACTCTATTTGTAAACAAATTGTTCACCAGAGATTGGCATCAGGTATAGAGCTGTCAATATAAAAGGCACAATACACATATTTGACTGTTGTGCAGTTTCCCTAGAAAAATATCAACATCCAGTTGTAGGAATATAATTTAATAACTGAAGCTCTGCTAGATTCTTGTAAATCATAATAAACCACCACCGCCATTCACTTTTATTGTAAAGTACGTGTCTTAACAACTCAGATGGAGGAAACCAAAATAAGTGAGCTCTCACTAGATAATAACTAGACATGAATTTTAATCTCGTCGGAGCGTCGACTAAAAGTCTTGGACTCGACACTGTACCACGTTGTAAGCTCAGGTAGTCTCAAAATTGGGTGGGAGATTTATTCAGATCTTGCCAGTCTAATTGGTTTTCATGGTAGCCTTGTTCAATGAGGAAACCACCTGAATGTCAATCATTGTGCTACAAACCAGCTATTATAAACTGCCAACTTAGAATATTAATGCTTGACAGTTAGGTCTCATATCAGTCATCGTTATTTTCATTTTAAACAAGCTTTTGAAAGGAAACAACTTGCCATTCATTCTCAGGGTATCAGGCTGCTTATAATAATTTTAACAAAGCTCATATATTCGGTTCAATTAAAATTGAAGCACGGGAAATACGAAGAAATTGGTGATGGTGGTAGGTTTGATTTGATTTGATTATAGCTTGATTCCACACCGTATTTTGGTACGTGTATAGAATTTTCAGCATATGATATCGGTAGCCCGAATTTTCCAGGCCAACCATTGATATCAGGTGTGCATCGGCCGTGGATCGAACCCCTGACCATGTGCATCATCGGCGAGAGTCCCAACCGCTGTGCCACCGACGAAAACGTAATTTAATTTTTTTTAGTTGTTTTCAATTAAATCTATACACAGTGAACCAGTTTCTTCAAGTGTATATATATATATTTCTGTCCATCAGAATGTTTTTCTCACATTTAGCACTTTAGCTCAACGACTTCTACTTTATGCATACACTATTTTACTTGTATTTCAGAACTTCTATTTTGGTCAAGATGATGAGTATGCTTTCATTAGATTCTAAACAATAACACAATTTTTACAGAGCTTCTAAAAGCATAGGTCCTGAAGTCGAAAAATGAAGGAGCGAAGGAGAATAAAACGTTATGAGGTTTATATATATATATATATATATATATATATATATATATATATATATATATATATATATAGAGAGAGAGAGAGAGAGAGAGAGAGAGAGAGAGAGAGTGAGAGACAGTACGGTGCGCCATACACTTTCACACGAATAGTAAATCGCAATGTTAGTTACTAAGGCAATTGATCGTTGTCATTAGCTTGTTATCATAATTAGTTATGTACATTATCATAAAAATTATAGTGTTGAATAATACTATTAACTTGTTACAAATACAAACAATTACCATCATCCAGATTATAGAAAAAAACAATTGAATCAAAAGAATATAGATCAGTGCCATACAACTTGAATTTAAACGTCAAACCCCAGTCTTCCTCTTGTTCTGGTTGCCTCCATCCCACTCTCACCTCTGATGTCGTTGTATGACAAAAAGATGATACCACAGAAGCATTTGTACTCGTTGCGTTTATGTTAATTGTAATATTTTGTCTAGACCCCTGAAGAAAAGTAAGAAAGTAAAATTTCTGAAAAAAAGGAGAAAATTGTTTAAAGGTAATTCAAAAACAAACAGATTTCCTTGTTAGAAGGTCATTGACAATACAAATATTTATTGTTTATTCCAAATGGTCTAAAAATGCCTATTATATTAAACGTTTTTAAGGCTGTTCACTTGTAAGAACGACGACTGCTATACTAAATGATACCACACAATGAAACTTTGAAACCAATTCAAATGACCCTCCTGAAGCTTATGATACACTTTCGTTGAATAGCCTAAATACATTATTATTATTGGTTCCAAATGAAACATAGGGCTTTAGCAGCACATATTCACCCCACTTTGTTCCCTAGCTTCACGACTGCCTATAAGTTCTCACCTCCTTTACACAATCTCCTTCGTGTCACCTTTGGACGCTCAACTCGTCGTTTCCCATTCGGGTTGTATTCGAGGGACTGGAGCGATCTCTGTGGAGTAACTTCAGTCCATCTCCTTTGTTTTCTGCATATCTGTTGGGTTCTTTCCCAAACTTCTTTGTTGGTAATCCTCTTTGACTACCCGATCTTCAGTGTGAAGCGAAGTGGGCAGTTGTTGATGAAATTTTGCTGGAAGTACTTTTGGTGAGTCATCAAGCCTTTGAACCATATAAACTACTGCTTTGTTATTAGTGTTGAAACTTTGAGTACAAGGAAATTTATTTGCTTCAATAATTTTTCATTTCTTACGAGTTAAAAAAGAAGAAAAAATATTTCTATTCTTATCTCAAATACTTTAAATTTTAATGTGAACACAAAACCTTATGGTCCTTCTTTTTACATCTTGACGTAACAAAATGCAACCGGAATTGAGAAACAGCCACAATTAATATCGTCAAGAAATTAATTACTCACTCATTCCTTCAACAACAGCCGATGATAAATATACATGTTGGTAATGATATTAATTGCAATTAATGATTTATGTAATTAAGCCTTGACTATCAACTAGCAGAAAGCTCTGAAGCTGAATGACAAACTTGTTAAAACTCACTTTTACTATGAAATATCGAAATGGGCTGTAATTAGTGTAGCTGACAAGTTGCTTGTGTCAATCTTAGAGTATTACGATAACATCTCAAATATGGAGTCCCGTGGTGACACGACTACAACCGCAACATCAAGATTCAAATAAAAGAAAACCTGAATGTTTCAGTGTTTAGTTAATCAGTCCTGTGACCGTATTCTAAATTCGGTTGACAAGGGACTTGTTGGCAGAAATCATCCTGATTAAATATAGTTTGTTGATAAACACACAGTTATCTAAAGTTCTATGAACTTAGTTAATTATGATATTCTAAATTTGTAAATTTTATAAATATTTTGAAAGGGTCTTGCTGAAAAGCCTCATGCATAAACAAAAGAATTTTTAAGACAGTTGGTTTTGTCCTCCACACAAAATGACATGTTTGTTTACTGAAGAAATCGAATCTTGTAATTTAAACGACTGATTTAATCTTCACTCCGCTTCTTCACCGTATCTTTGTATTATTCTCTTGTTGATTTGTTCACTTCTTGTATACGTATTATGGTAGATTGAAATGGATTACGTTCGAGTAAGATTTTATGTCAGTCTGCATAACGAAAGTTTCCAAACAACCTAACTGGATAAAAATAAATACAATGTTTGCCATTAACAAAAAGTGATTTATGAAGGAGCGTGACAACTCAATTCATCGAGTCACTGAAGAACTGGCTAGTTTAAAAAGCATAAATAATGTAAGTGTAGAATTTATACACTGCGGTGGAAAATAATACCATATTAGATAAGTTTGTCTGACAGAACACACAGTGATACAGTAGTAATAACTGGATAACGTTTCGAGCACAATTCGTTGCTCATAATCGTATCAATGTATACACTCGGCACTATAATTTGCTTTATATATATATCATATGTCTCGTCATTTGTTAGTCTCATGACGATCATGTGAATTTCTCTTCTACTGAGCTATTCTGCTGCTGCAGTGAGTACTTTAATTTGATTATGAACATTAAATTGTGCTCGAAAAGTCACCCAGTTTTCAATACTGAATCACCATGTATTATATGAAAAAAGTTTATCTAATGTGGAAAAGCATACAATCTGTTCAATATTAAAGTTTTCATTACAGATTCATGTCACTTAGAGTACTACCAAAAATCAATGAGCAATAGACAACGAAGTCTGTACACATGATACCATATTCACTTGGAAATGTTGGCAGGGCCGCAGTGGATTAAAATATAGTGGTAGGCGGTATAGAGTTCGAGGTTAGGTTGTCAAGACATATACTCACTAATGATATTGCATGACAGTTGCTGTATAACACAACATTAAGAAAAGTTGGAAAACACAAGACATTAGGTATTCATAAGTTGCTGTTTGCAAGACCGCAACCTGGTCCTGAATACAGACTTTGATTCACAAAGCTCAACAGACATAAGGTAGGTAAGAAACTCAAATAATGTATAATTATATTTCAATGGTTTACACACAATGATAAGTTTTTGTTTTTTGGTAACATTTTGAGCGAAATTACTGCCCGTGATCACACCAACTGTTAGAATTGTTTAGTTTTTAAATTCGAGTAGTAATTTCGCTCAAAATGTTACCAAAAAACAAAAACTTATGATTGTGTGTAAACCATTGAAATATAATTATACATTATTTGATCTATTCCACAATGCTGAAACTTTTTACTGACATTAGGTATGAAACTGTTCTGTGTTTCGATAACTCTTTTGATAGGCACCAATCATTCACGTAGATTTCAACTTAGGCAGAGATAATAAAGCAGCATAATTTAAGTGTACGTCATCCTTTTTATTCTCATCCAAATATTAAAAAACTTCGGTGTCTAATAAACTGAGATGAACAAAATAAGGAAGGCAAAAACAGGTCTTCACTTTATTGTTCGGTTGGTTAAGTACAAAAGAAATTTGGAATATATCATGGTAATTCAGTTGTACTAATGTAACAACTTGGTTTCGTCTCTTCAAGTGCCGTACTCTTAGACTGCAAAATTTTTACTAATACATATACATATATATATATTTTATGTACTGCCGAAAGAAAAAATAAAGTTTCTAATTAGGATATTTAAGGCAACTTATGAGAACGAAAGATATGACTTCACAGTTCCAATTATTGAACTCTAAAGAAATTTAATTTTAGAACCAGGTGCATAAATATATTTTGAGTGTTTTTTGCAAAAAAAAATACATAAAATAGTTCCTAAAAATATTACTTGATTAAAAAGATTTAATATTCAAGAGTACAGTGAGTAGACACTGAATACTGCAAAGTGCAATATATCAGGAGACAGCAAATTAAATTACAAGATTCAAAAATTATTCTTGGAGAAATCTAAATGGAACCTTTTCATTCCAACTTATAGAGAAATAATATGAGGAGAACATTGCGTTTGTATAGCTATGAAATGAGAAACGTATTGTCAATTTCTGATAAGTAACATGAAATGCAGATATCATTGGTTATTTACAGCCAGTCTGATGATATTTGTTTATTTCTATTCAGCCATGGTTTGTAATATATATATATATATATAATTGTTCAGTGGGCATAATTTGATATTACTCAGTGGTTAGAATTTGTACATCGGCGGTTCATTGGTGGAAGGTCGGGATTCAATTTCCCACGGACTAACTTGTAAACCTTGTTTAGCTGTTCGTAAGCCCAGAAGTTTGGGGATTAGACTAATAACACCATCACTACTGAAAATGTAAAGCTTGAAACCCTTTGTTTCAACAGGAACGCAACAAAATCTCAGTTAGAGGATTGCTGGTGCTTCTCAATAAGGTAGCAATCTACTTTCCACATGGAAGGCCTTGTCAGAATCTGTGTTAGGACCTGTAAAGAGAAAGAGCCTGCTCAATAGCACTGTTATGCAGTTTTGCACCTCCTAATAACAAAAGTCACGGTATGTGTTCACAGATTCTTTGCACAATGACCCTTTCTGTTTTTCCAGTATACATGAATTAAAAAATATCGACACCAACTGAGGAAAGTGTAGAAAACTAAACAAAAGAAACCATTCATAGTTTTTTAAAAGCTTGAATACGTGAAATTGCCATTCAAAGAGGAAGATATGTCTTAAATGGTGGAACAAAGATTTCGCGTAGATGCACAGTTTTTTTTTAGCTCTATCAACAACACGGTATGAAAGTGAGGAGAAAGATACAGAAATAACCTCGACACTGCTTTTACAGATTTAAATGTGTAAATGCGTGAAGAAAATACATCAGGTGTTTGTATACCAGCAAGTTTAAGTATTTACAAGCCGTTAACGTTTTCAAAGAAGAAAGTAAACGTTTCATACCTAAGCTATCAGTGAACTACGAGCGCGTTTCTGATAGAACTAAATTCCTTACAGTCATCAATAGTCAACTAAGCAAGAAAATGCTCTTATTTAAAGAACAGATCTTTGTGTGCCGAAAACACATTACTTAACCTGAATCCGTCATTGTAAAAATCATCTTGTGATATGACTATTTTGCCTTTCAACTTCGCCTTCTCTTCTCTGTCTGTTCACACAGTCGTTTCCGTTATCTGTAATATTCTGCCTTGTTTCTTGTATTCATTAGATTTTGTACTGGACGCATGTTTCATTCACCCGTACAATATCACATTACGATTATTTTGCGCTTTATGCATGTTTAACTGACAATACCATTATTACTCAGTTTTAGGATTGATTCTGCATGTTAAAAGAGTTATTGAAAACCGTGGAGCTCTGAGCAGCTATCTACTCCTAGATTTTGACTTCTTAGTGGTGTGTTCCAAAACCTTATCAGCATATTAGCGCCAAGTTATAAGGGCGTGAACGTTACCACTAAGCCTTTTTGTAGGCATACAAACACAGCTTTAAACCATTACCGAACATCTTAAATACTAATTAACAATTTGTATGCATTCAACACAATATTTATTAGAGTTAGGCGTGAAAAAGATATCACTGAAAAAATGTATTTCACTTTTCTGTCTTCGTTCAACAGTAATAATAACTTTTCACGATAGCATAATTTACTTAAGGAGTATTCAGGTTTCAGTATTAATTTCTCATTCTCTTTTAAACGTCTTAATACGCTGCATTTAAATACTGTACATCGCATGATTTTCATCTTTACTTGTTTGTATAAATAAATACAGAAAACACTTTGTGTCTACTTTTTCCACTTGGGTTCCAATATACAATCTCCTGACCGATAGGTTCAACCTTGAAATGGTGGTCTGGCATGCATATCTCAATGAACCAACGAGCTACACTGTCAAGAACAATGTTCCTACAGGTCCTACTATGCCAAAAATGTCGTTTATATCGTGGTCGGCCTAAAAGAATTTACCAGAGCTCTCATTATGGTAGGGGTCTATGGGCGAAGTCAAACTGCTAGCCAGCAATGAAATACCAACAGGATAGTTTCACTTCCTGCAGTTTTAGTGTAGGGAGTTTAGAGGAAGTCAACCCCAAACATTAGAAATCCTTATTTACCTTGGAGTTGTTCGAAACCAGTAGTACAACCTTTATACAGCCAAAACTTCGAAAACCACTTGAAAAAGACCATGTGTGACTTGCCTTCTCCTAGGCTTCGAGGTCATGCGGCTTTAATGCTCCTTTTGTTTGAGGTTTTCAAGGCGAAACCAACTTCCACGATGTGGGCAGCTAGAAAGTAACAACCGCCCATACGCTTTCGTAGTCAGCCATTAAATATTTTTTCAAGCATATAAAGAATGCAGGTGACGAGTTCTAATGAAATAGATGAATCCATTAAGGCTTCCTTGAGTAACTTTCTTCATCTTAAATTTATAACGGAAAAGAGATACTCTGTATCAATAAATTCTCAGGACAGTTACCCGATCACTGTAAATTTAGTGTAGAATTCAACTGAATAACCCTCCAGGTTAAACTATTATTGAAATATAAGATTACCTAACAAATTCTTAGCTCATTCCGATATATCATTCCTCTATGAAAAGTTATATTTAGGTTTTAAAGTGGTTTTGTCTAGAAACTACGCCATCATATATCAAAACTGTGAACTATGACAGTGCTATAAACTAGCACTAACGAACACAGATAACCTGCTGATTTTCTGAATCAGATCAGACTATGACTCAATGTGTATTTTCAATTACTTGAAACAGAGCAAGAACCCTGTAACAGTGAAAGAACGTGATACGTTTCTTAAGTTTTCTGTCATGCTTTCCAAAGCGAACAGGAGAATCAGTTTTCTGAAGAGCTTTTTAGATAAGGAAGAATAGCCCAAGCACTGCTGGAAATGTCTTCGTCACAATCATATCCGTCCAAATCATTACTCTTTGAAAAGTCAGATCAGAATGATTTAGACATACCAGGGCTGTTTCTCTGATTCGATTCCAGGTAAATCGGTGATTTCTTCAAACTCAGGTTGAAATCTGACCAATTATAGAGGTGAACGAACACTGTCTTAATGATTAATACAACAATCTATTTTATAAGGTATCTTCATTTCATTTCCCGAGATCTTAAAATTTGAAACATTTGACTTTTAAATGCTCACATTCCTATTTCTTAGTAAATCTCAACTACTGTCAAATCAACTTGATACATTTAGTGAAAGTAAACAGTAATCAAGTCCTTTTGTTGAACTATGTAAAGTCCTTTCCAGTAAACCGCAGGAACTGCCCACTTATTTGATTCTTGCTTGAAGCTTAAGTTGAATAAGTATCTAAAGCCTAATACACTTCTTTCACTTATTTTTACTGCATAAATCACAGAATATACCCATTCAATCAAAGGAAAACAAAGAAAGGTTGAGTATATCGAGTATATCATGCGTTCGCTTGCAAAACGCGCTCCACTCAGCCTAGTTAGCAAAGAGAGAACAGAAGTGAGCCTTTAGTCAATGTGTAAAACTTAGGCAGTGTGGTAGTATGTAATTCCAGATTAATTTATTAGATATGTCACACAGTGAAACATTATTTATATTAATATGTGTCTTCAGTTCCATAAAAGTTTCTTGCGAAGTCAAAGCACTCAGAGCCATTTAAAAATTCCTCCCTTTCTAAGGGAATGAATGAGTTCGAGACATCTGCGTATAACAGAAGAACTGGTAGTATAGTAAACCCAACCCAAAGCTAAGTATCCATACAAGTACTTTTAACTTTGGCCTTTGTCATGATATCCAGTCTATTTCCTGAGTAAAATCACTTTCAAATAAATATGTTTATTGTCTCTTTCTGTTTTAATCCCTATTTTGGCCCATGATTGGAAATAATTCTGAAAACTTTTTATCTTAGTATATACGAGCATACACCATAATTGATGACATTGTCGGAAAAACAGTGATCAATTATTTTAAAGTTTCAGATATCGATTTTAATGCATATTTGCATCCACTATACGTTAGATGCTGCAGAAAACAGGTGCTGAGGGGCTATTATTATTTTAAAAATTTAATTACTTCACATGTTATAACTAGAATAATTTTTAAACGTAAAATAATCAATATTATTGACAATATGTCAACTTTAAAATTACTGCTAATTATAGAAGAGACAAATGCTCTACTAATGAAGGTAATTTGTTTATGTTGGTTATTTTTGATACTTTTAAAACACCACTCGAACAAATACGTGTTTTAAATAAAATTACCGTTTCTTTGATAGAACAATATTCGAAATAAAAGAGACTTTTATCTCACAGTGAAGATGACAATTGTATGTTGTCCTCTGAGCTTTAAGATTTTATCGTGGATATTTAGTAATCAGGCTGAGTGGTCCGATCTGTTTTTCCGTGAAATTTTAGTCATAGTGATCTTACCAAGCCTGCTAACGAATATCTGGCAGTCAAATATGAAAGCATGTAAAATATGAAATAGTTTCTCTACATGAATCAGTTGAAAATAATTTACATAAGCTTTTGAAAGTTCCAAAAAGATCTAATGTCACAGAAGTTCAGAGTAGTATTAATGGATGGAGCTGTTTCTTTGGCACACAGATTTCCCATTGCTTTACATGAACCACTGTGGCTTCTTCTGTTTGGAGCGTCCAGTATTTAGAGGCCTTTTGCAGTACATTCGGTACCCAACTGGAGATAATAAATCATTCAGTGCTGGCTTTGTGGCCTATTTCAACCCACCACCCTACAGGAAGGGCCAATATAACTGGTTACAGAGGTGCAACTGAATTTGATAAATTCATACCACAATTGCTCGTTCACAAGAGTGTAATGCGTATGCACGTTAGTTATTTTGATAAATAACTGTTTAAATATTTATTGCTATTTTTCCAATTTACTGTGAGTATGGAATATAAAGTGTGGGTAAGTGGTTCATTGGTAGGATGCTCGTCACCTACCTACATCATCTGAATCCGATTTCTGGCCAACGCACTGCTAAACCTCTCTTAGCCAGTAGTAAACCCGAAAATGAGGGAAGGTGGAGTGCGAAGCTAGCAACCCTGGTCCTTAAAATCAGCAACACGGCAACTAAAACATCTATCCCCAATTTCGAAGACCTACATTCTACTCGGAAGGCAAAAGGGATGCAAGAAAAACAGAACATAAGAAAATGTGTTGAACGAAAATTGCTAGGATTGCATTATTACTAACCGCTTATAAAAGAAACAACGTCTGCAGTCACGCATTGATAGCCTATGTGACTGCATATTCGATATCGTTAGTCAGACCGCAAATGTCCGCTAACGCAATTTACACGCACTATTACTTTGGGAGTAATGGTAAGCAGAATGAATTTTGTTTTGGAAATGAAAGTCAATATTGTTTAAGCAATAGTCGGAATCGGTGAACTGTGAAAAATTCTATGAGCCTATCACAGTGTTTAAGGTTGCTTATGAGGTAAGTAAATACGCTTTATATGACACTGGTGACCAGAGCCTTTTAAATATTTTCTAAAGTTTTTAACTAATAATCTACTTCTCCATATTAATTTATTTATTAGATATATCAGTTAGTGAAACAGTAGTATCTACTGGGTGACGATTCAGACACAACTTATTGTTTGTAATCATATCAACTCTAACTACACAACATCGAAACCTTATTTCCATAGTTGTCTTTCTCCTTTCCTATTTACCTTTGGAGTAGTAGAAAAAATTCCATACGTCCCGAACAGATGCTGATTCATTTCTATGGTAAACGTTTTCAGTTGATTCGATAAATAAGGCCTCTTCCCGTTTTCATTAGTTTTTACGATTGTGCAGTTATAAATTACACGATTATGAACAATAAACTGTGATCTAAATGTCATCCAGTAAATAATGCTGTTTCAATATGCAATATATTATAATAAATTAATTAATATAGGGTTAAATACTACCACAGTGTCCAAATTTTACACATTAATATTGATGAAATCTATTTTCCCTTTGTTACGCTTCTATTACTGTTAAACCTCAATTATATATAAAAATTTTAAGAGAAGACAGTAGAACTAACTTACCTGTAAAGGAACAACAATTTTCATTGATGCTTTCATAAGAAGACAGATTAAACTACCTTCCTTAGCAGCAAATGTTTTCCCTGGTCCAGTGTCAGTATCCTCTTTGGGAGTCCGAGTAGTTGCTCCTTCAGGGTCTGTCTCACCATAAAAGTACGAAGCTGATTTAACATTTCTACCATACTCCACTGAAGAATATTATAATTTCATAAATTATACAGTTCATAATAAAAATCATTCGGCTTACAAATACAGATTGCTACACACAGTAAACAGATACTGTAAAAATTATTAATGAATTTCATAAACTGACGGTTTAACCCAACAACTGGTATGGTAGATAAAATATTCTTCTTCCAGAATTACCGTCAATGCAGGTTAATAGGAATAATAGATTTCTCTTAAACCCCCCAAATGAAAAAATAATTAATGTATATGACGCATTGTTGTGGAATTTTCTATTGGTTGAAATCCAGACAATTGTGTTGGTGGGTTTATTCAATGTCGTGATTGGAAATATGTTGTGAATTTCAGTTTTAAAAATAAAACCAACTAAAGAAACAGCATTGTTTTTATGCAATTCGAAATGGTTTGTTGGAATACTAAATTATTTCGCTAGTTAAAATATTACATAGCTCAAGCATTTCTCTGGGGGGTATTCCTATCAACTCATGACTAAGTAAATGATTTTTACACCCTGTCTATTGAAGAGTAATAGCGTTGATGCGTTTAACAATTGTAGCACAAAGTTTCAGTTCACTGAGATAAAACGAAAGATTTTAGTTATAGATGCATAATTGAAATTCTTATTAGTCAGCAAAGAGATGACTTATCATAGGCTCTCTTCAAAGCTATATAGTTACTTAGGGATTTCAATACACACTGTTAATTGACAACATAGTTTGGAGATTGTTGTCAGTTAGTAACAAAATAAATCAAAGTTTATTGGAAATGACAATGTGTGGAAAACAGTGAATAATCTTACTTAATCGAGAGAGTTAGTTAAACAGTGAACTAATAGAAAACAAGGCAACAAAGAATTGAGAATGACTTACAGAAAAAATTGAAAAATAGGAAAACTTCATCGAGTTGATTATGCAGCAAGTCAGGAGAGTACAATTTACAATAAGACCATGGTAATAAAAGAGACTGACATTTACTGTCAGTTGAGATTGTATGTATAGGCTCCTAAATACCTGTACAACTTTGAAGACAAGATACAAAAACAAAACTCCTTCTCGGCTTTCGTGTTCATAATTCAAACTATAACGACAAATAATTGCAGCAAGTAAATTGAAACTACTTATGTGATTAACTTTCTGAATTTTATCTATAATTAGCCACCGAAATCGATAGTGGAAAACTCTAGAACTCCGAAAAACTGCTATCGTAGCCTAAAATATCCTTATCCGTCGGCTCTGATTAGGCTGTAGGTTCGTAATTGAAGACAGGAAAGACTCATCACAGACTCCTACAACCAACTACAAAAAATGAATAAACAAAAATGTTTGAAAAGTTTATTTACAGAGTACTGCAACACAACTCTAAGGCTCTTAGAGATGTGCTTGGAAAATCTAGTAGACTTTCTCACCTAGGCTCTTCCTAACCCACCGATAGCTGCTACCTCTACTTGGTGGTGGGGCCTCCATATCGCTATGACCCAAAAAACTACACTAGCTGGAACTAATGTTCCTGCAGGTCCTACTGTAATCGTAAGAGACGAAAGATTTGGTAAAGGAGTGTTTATTTGGAATTTGGTATCTCTATGTAACCAAATTATGTACACCTTATATTCAACGCACCATTTAAACAGATCTTCCGTGCTGTGCTTCTTCTGACCTTCATATTGTACTTCTTTCACGTCTCCCATGTATCTCCACAACGCTGTATCATTTGCTTTTTCTGACGTCAAATCTGTCTCCCTTCTATTTGATGTTTTTAAGCCATTGAACGTCTCTTTACATACTACCGATAAGTCTTATCAGTAGCACATGCCACAGTACCTCTCAACATTCCCCTTGAGCATCATTCACGCGAAAGTTGGTAATAAGTGTAGCATTGCAGATAAAGCAGAAATACTGCCACGTTTCATTAGATTAACCAAGCCGTCTGAATGGAGGAATATGTTGGACTATTATTATTATTATTACATCCTTTAATTCCTTTAATTAGAATATACAAAGTGAAAAATACTTAGCTTTCTATGATTTATTTATATCTTTTAGTTTATGTACGTTTTAGTACACCTGTATCTGCGTGTTTTAATTTACTTACCCCTTTACAGCTAGGTGGATCAATTGATTATTATTATTATTGTATCCTTTAATTCCTACAGGAACATAGGGCTTCAGCCGTGCGTCTCCATTGCGTTCTGTTCTCTGCTAGAGTCTTCACCTGGCTCCAGGTCTGCCCACACGTTTTCATCTCCTCTTCACATGACCTCCTCCAAGTCACCCTTGCACTGACGACCAACTCGCCGCTTCCCTTTCGGGTTCCACTCGAACGATGGCTTGTCTAGTGATGTCACTTGATGGTTTCCTCAGAGTATGGCCAATCCATCCCCATTTCTTCCTGCCTATTTGTTTCACAATCGGTTCCTGGTTGGTTCGCTCACTGCCAGAGATCTCTGTTGCTGATCTTTTCTGGCCGGCCATCTGATCTTGAGTGTATTGAGCGAAGACAACTGTTAATGAAGGTCTGTAGTTTGTTTGAGATGCTCTTTATGACGCTTAGTGCAAGTCTCTGATCCGTATAGTAGCACTGACTTCACATTGGAGTTGAAAATCCGGATCTTATTTTTGATGCTGAGTGCTGTTGACCTCCACACAGACTTGAGAGTAGTGAAAGCTTGTCTTGCTTTTCCGATTCTTGCTTTGATATCCTCGTCTGTTCCGCCTGTAGTTGAAACGATGCTTCCAAGGTAGGTAAAGGAGGTTGTTTCTTTCAGGTTCCTCCCATTTATGCTGATTGTTGTCCTGTTGTTGTTGTTGCTGTTGGTGGTGTTGCCCAGGAATCTTCATCACCTCTGTTTTATCTATGTTCACCTGAAGTCCTATCTTTGATGCTTCTTCTGCTAACTTGTTGCTTTTCACTTGCATATCTTCCAGTTTGTGGGAAATCAGACATATATCATCGGCGAAGTCCAGATCCTCCAAGTTTTTTGTGTGAGTCCATTTTATGCCTGTTTCCTCACTGCCCACTGTTTGTCGCATTATCCAGTCTACTGCAATCAAGAAAATCATTGGCGATAGTAGGCAGCCAGCTTGTCTTACTCCTGTCCTCACTTCGAAGGATTCCGTAAGTTTCCCGTTGTGGATTACTTGGCATGCAGCATTGTCGTATAGCTGTTGGATGAGATGTATAATTGTCGGTGGCACCCCGTAGTAGCGAAGTAGTTTCCAAATCACCTCTCGATCGACGCTGTCAAAGGCCTTTTCAAAGTCGATGAAGTTGAGATAGAGAGGTGACTGCAACTCCAAGCTTTGTTCAATGATGATCCGTAATGTGGCGATCTGATCAATGCATGACTTGTTTCTCCTGAATCCAGCCTGTTCCGGTCGAAGTTTTTCATCCAGGGCTTGTTTGATTCTCTCCAGGATGATGCGGCTTAGTATTTTGCTTGGGATGGACAGGAGCATAATTCCGCGCCAGTTCTTGCATTGACTTAAGTCTCCTTTCTTTGGTAGTTTCAATCAATTGATGAGTATCATTTATTTTCCAAATACGTTATGTCACTCAACGCCTGATTATCTCAAAAGTATGTTATAAGTACGTTCGTTGCATATGATTAATTCGGGGTTAATCTGTGTAAAATAAACGATGTAAAAAAGTAATAAAATGCCTCAATTTACACCGGACCACCGTACTCAAATGAAATATGTGATGAGGCTCATTGAGACTTCGAACATGACAACCACTGTTCACCAACAGCATTTTTAAATTAACCATTTAATCTTTCATGCACTCTGAATATTATTTAGTGTTGCACTAGACCTCTTAATGAAATCAAGAATGCAGATGTCTTGCTTACATTATGTCACAGCCATTTTCAGTGAGAAATTTGAAAGGAAGCGGAAATTACTGTGACAAACGACTATCAAAGTTTAGTTGACTGACTTCTGGAGTAATAATGAAGAGATTTTCCGTGCAAATACTTGAAGTATAACGCCAGACTTACAGAATCGAAAACTTGTTTAGAATTTATAAATGACTGCATACAGAATTATTGATTTCCTAAAGTTTACTGGGAGCCTCTTCATTGCCATGAAGTTTATCCAAATTCCAGATCGCTGAGATGACATGCACTTACCCAATAAAACATCAGAAAAATACATGTCGAATTTAAAAAAAATTTCGCAATTGATGAACTTTCACGGGATTTATTTACGAACTCCCCTGGTTATTTAGACGGAGTTAGCGAAAACAGAGAGGAAAAAAAGAGTATGAAACTTCTGAAGTCTTTAGAAAGCTAAAACCCTGAAAAGAATTCACTGTCAGACCTGTATCAGTATGTTCATAATTTTCCCAGTATTACACTAGATAAATTCCAGTTAAAGGTATTATCAATGGGTACTAAATTTTGTTACTAAGGTCATAAGATCAATCATCTCGACACCAAAATCCAGGTTGAAAACTTGATTTCGCAAACGAAAGAGTTGATTCCATAATTGGAGGATGAACTTCCTAGGTTTAAAACTATACTAGTCGACAGCTATGAGCAGTATAAAAACAGTTATTATCCTAGCAAAATGCTGATGACTGAACAACAACGAGAAGCTCTCATTAGGTTGAGAAATGACGAAAACTTTATAAATAGTAGACCAGATAAAGGGCCGTGGGTACTGCTGATGGATAAATGTGAGCCTGTCTCATCGCTACGAGATAAAAGAAAATTCCAAAGACTGACAAGTCAACAAATTTAAACAGAAAGGCTGAAAAGCAGCTGACAAACACGCTTTAGAAAGTGAGGAAAGAAGAAATAATCTCTAGAGCTGCCTGCAACACCCTTATGCTCACTAGTAGTGATACATATTGATTGCATGGTTCACCCAAAGTACATACGCTAAGAATTCCTACTCGCCCAGTCCTAGATATGGTAAACTGCTAGTTGGGCTCTTGCAACCAGTGAACAAAAAGTTGGCAAGTTATGGTGTTTTAGTTGTTTTCGAATTCCCCACTAATTCAGATGATGTTAATATAGGTAGAAAGTAAATGTAATCCTTAGATTTTGTATCACTGTTCACTAATGTACAACTGATGAAGAGTATGAATTTCTTGTGCCAACTGATACTAAAATAGTAGATTAATGTCGGAATTTCCGTTACTATTCTCAAAGAGCTACTAATAAGATGTCCTATGAATGTACATTTCGCACCCTACATTTGTTGCAGAAAAACCGATTGCATAAGTATAGATATAATGTTAAGCGCAATTCTGGTAGTTTTTTTTTCATTCTAAGCCTGAAAATGGTTCATTAAAAGAAGTAATAGATAAACTGAATTCTTATTATCATCATGTTGATGATACGTTCATTATTCTTGATCAGAATAAATAGAAGAA